GAGAGAATATTAGCATTTGACATTGCAAATCTCTGTTTCTGCTAAATCTCATGATAACACTTTTCAGCTAAATGATAAAATTTTTAAAAACGCTATTGTTTTCTAAAGCCATTAGTGTTCTATTTATGCAATGAATTAGAGAGAAAGCATTATAAGAAAAATACTCTAACTGTAGAAATAAGAATAACTTTTATAACATTAATTAAATATTTATGAATAACTCATTTATTGTTAAAATTTAAATGTAATATGAGTAGCCATATTATGAATACTATTTTTAAAATATTTTATGTTTCATTTCCGTATAGATTAAAATGACAGTTTTTTGAATATAAATACAGTATATAAAAGATGTGTGTATATTCTTTGATGACATTTTCATACAAGAATTTGGCTGAAACAGTAACATACTCCATTTCAAAAACAGCAGTGCAGTCACATAACAAAAACAAATTATTAACTAAATTGTGATTGGTTAAATTGTAACAGCTATTAATAGAATGGAACACAGAAACATCTCAACCAATTACCCAGAGCAAAACTTACTTTTGGAGTAGAGAATAACGATTTGTCCAAGGTTCATTAACTGCCTTTCACATAGGAGACTTATCAAATATCTTGTGTATTTATTTTTTATTTATTTATTTAGACATACTGGAAAATCTTGTGTATTGCTTTCATTAAGTTATTGGAGTTATTTGTAATGGGATAGGAATTAATGTCATTATGGGTAGTAAGAGTATCATACACTAATCTACTTGCTACTAGTGACACCTCACTCAGATTTTAGAAAATTAGTATTTGCTACTAGCTGTCTTGAAAAGATGTCAGAGAATGAATCTTCTGTAATTATATTTCCTACATCCATTCTGTGACTACTGTATCTGATGATCTATTATGTTATATACAAATTTCTGAAACAATGGAAATTTCACCTGACTAGTAAAACACCTTTGAATGTAATATATGTATGTAAATATGATCTAATACAAGCCTTTATACTGACACTATACTTAATACTTCAGTTTTATCTTTTTTTTTTAAATGATTAAACCCAACTAAGTAAATGTATGTGAAGATTATTATTTCTGATGTTATATTTGAGATTTTACCACAAATAACATCTTATACATTAATTTGCTAATAGAACATGTTATTTTTGTTAAAGTTTATTACAACCTATTACATTCTATATTTTTAATGACATTTACCTACATTATAACTTCTATTTAAGGGTAAAACTGTATTGTACTACAGTAGAGCATTGATTATCTGACTCAATTGGGGACTCGGGTTGGTCGGATAACTGAAAAAATCGGATAACCGAAAAGAATGAAAAAAAATACATTATTATTAAATACATCGCTATTAACCTACTTTACGTTGAATTTTCATTGATGTTAAGCCTAACAAAATTTTTTTAAAAATAATAATCGTCGCTATTGTATCGTTAAAAATTATTTTTAAATTATTTTATTGCTCACAAAACAAAACCACTCATAATTAGAAAATTAAGTCTTGTTTAAATACTGTACTGGCCTCCCTTTCATGGTCCAGCCAGTGTTGCCAGCCAAAACACGCAAAAATTTAACAAAAATAATATTAAAGTAGCCATGACATAGCCAAATATTGTAGCGCCACATCACTAGTGGACATTTGAAATTTGCTGACTAGAATGGTCGGTTAACCGATGTGACGGTTAATCGGGGGTCGGATAATCGATGCTCTACTGTAATACAATTTCACCTTTTCTAAAAAGTATGGACAAGAATGGAAAACAATGTATTGACTCATATCTGTGATTAACTATGATATTCAGGCCAGATTCAAATCCGAATCATCACATTGGTAAGCTACAATGCAACCATTATAACACAATTACAACTAATAATTACAGTAGATACCCCTATAAGACGGGTTCCTATAAGACAGCGAAAAAATTGTGGCTGTATCTGTAAACAACGGTAAAAAAACTCCTATAATTACATAAAATGTCATCGGGCAGCCGAACTACTTTCCGCCGTCCAGCACCACGCTACGGACAGTTTAGGCAGGTAAATTGAGTTTAGTATCGTCTGTACATATAATTATATATAAATTAGGTACTGTATATATAATTATATATTAACTTAATTTATTGTAACTTTATTATAATTATATATATACTTTCCACCGTCTAGCGCCACACTACGGAGAGTTTAGGCGAGCTATTGTCTGTACAGTATGTAAATTAGGTACCGTAAATCTAATACAGTACTGTAATTTTATATATTTCTTGTGAAAGAAACATTTCTTATTCAACAGCCATAAAAATTATTTATATTAATGATGTCTCCAAAGGTCAAGTTATTTTTCTGCAAAAAATTCGTTATCAGATATCGCGGCCACCATTTCGTGCACTGTTCCATGACAAAAACAAGCTTGAGCAACAGCGATGTCAAATGATGCACACTCGGTAAGTAATCCTACAATTTTTTGTTTGTTTGTATATATTTCTTGTGCGTAGTTTATACGGATTATTTCCAAAAAAAATATACATATTTTGGAAATGTTGAGTTGGATTAGTCTAGAATCGATTAATTTTATGGAAGAAAACCTTTCAAACAGCCATAGTCCGTAAACTTCACACGTGTCAGGCTGTGATTGGCTGTGATTCCTACAAAACTGATTCATAAAGAACGGAACATATCTACCGTCTTATAGGGGGATCGACTATATTATATTATTTTTTTAGTTTTGAACTCATTCAGACCTGTGGGCACTAAAATGGCTTTTTCCCTCCTCACAGGTTTACCCAAACCTTCAATAGGAGCAACCAGGTGATGAGAGATGGAGAAAAAATATTCAGGGAACACCACATACAGAAAATTCCTTGGAGGTTTCTAGATTCAACCTGGATCCCCACAGCAGCAGGCTGAATCATTTGCCTTGCTGCCTCAACCATCTGGCTGCAAATATTAAATTATTCATCAACAATACCTTTAAAACCAAATGTTCTGTTTTTAATAGAACAGTGTTCAGACAACATCGTTCTATAATGGATCTCATTTAAATTTCAAATTCCTTTAAATGCATACACATTTCAACTTTTAAACATACCTGTTACAACAAACATTATATATAAATTTGGTTTATATTTTTATTAAATTAACACAGTATAATTATAAATTGTCAATGCAGTTAATAACTTTAGATATGATATGGAATTGCATCTACATCTGTAAAATTTACAAGTCTTAACTGGACTATGCCACAAAAATACAGTAACAACTCAATTAACCAGCAAACTCTAACAAATTAACATTTTTGGACATTCTTTATGCCCATTTTCAGACAATCACAAAAAATAATTACAGAATAGAGCACTACAGGTTTAAACCAATTGACTGTGTACAGTAGCCCTCCTTTAACACTGTTGATAATTCCGTGTTATATGAATTCCATGTTGTACGAGTCACTTAGATTTTACAAATACGTAAGCCGTTCACAGCCCAGCACACATTTGTAAAATCTAAGTGACTCGTACAACATGGAATTCATATAAACGGAATTATCAACAGTGTTATAGGGGGATCTACTGTATTTGATCTCGTAATTCCTTTCGCAACATCCTGTTTGAAATCTGCATCGAAAACATTCAAAAATATTAGCATCCATTATTAAAACATTTTGCCAAAAAATTAAGGCATTGATATATCCTTAAAATTGTTTTATCATTTGCCATGCAAGTTTTTATAAATTTCTATTTTTCAAAGATTTCCCGGCTTGGCATTTAGTCAAAAACATTCGCCAACATAAAATATTTTGTCATTTGACTGCCACTCATTCTCTTAATAGATCCTTTAGCGATAACCATAAATTTTGAAACATCTGTAATAAAGGACAGGACCAGAAGGTCCAAAATGCATTTCCTGGTATAATAAAGTTAGAATTGTCAATTATTGGCTTAAATAACCCTAACAAACCTTTATAATTACCAGCAAATAAAGTTTTTAATATACTTTGACAAGCACTTTCAATCAAAATCACTTGTCAAAGTATATTAAAAACTTTGTTTGCTGGTAATTATAAAAGTTTGTTAGTGTTATTTACTATATAACCAGCTGTGAGAAGATTTAGAATTACTGGCTTCTTCATTGTATATGTTTTTGTTTGTTTTGTTAAGTTATGGCAATGCAACACTTGGACGATGTTTTCTGGGAGGTCTTTATGGGTAACTGGCCCCTATTCAGGCATTACAAACATGGAGAAAACTCCATATGGCCAGCCCATCCTGGCGAGGTGCGAACCCACAACCGAACTCCCAGTGTTCAGAGTATGGAACCACTTGACCTCCCATGGGCCTATTCCTTGTATGACTCTTTGGCAAAATTTATGCTCGTCGTTAATGTATAAACAATTTTGCCCATTTTAACAGTGTCGTCAATTAATCACGTGACCAGTTTCGAGATACGGTGTATTTCGATTAACCGAAATTACACATGCAACTTATATGTCATATATGCTTATCTTTATATAATCTGCAAATCTGCAATTAAAATAAACAATCAGCAAATGCACAAATTACACATTTCATAGAAAATACAACAAAAATACAAAAATCACGGATATATCTAACAAAATATTTGAAATTTTACTGGAAAAATTATATTTTTATAGAATATGGAACACGTTACTTAATGACGCAAATCATTCAAACTTTTATGCAAGCCAATCACAAGGCTTCTTTCATCAAACATTTATAATGTTCCATTTAAAATGTAATTGTTTATATACTTTATACAGGCATACAAAACGCATTATTAATACTTATTAAACGATAAACAATTCATTTTTTGGTATTTACATTGAAAAGTATAATCAGATATGAAACAAAAGATAAGAAACATCATTTAACAACACGATTAAATAACACGTCTTAAACATCTTCAAATATATCAAAAAAACATCTTTTTATTCATCTGAACGAGAAAATATATCGTAAAATGAATAAAATCTACCTGAAATCTCCATTTTTTATAGAATTCATTACGTCTGAATCTTCCATAACCTCTTCTTTCCTCTTCGCCATTTTGCTTACTTGAAGAGAAAGACGTATTCTCGTTCTCGCAACGTTAACGTGAATATTTTTCAAAATATAAAATAATTTAATTGGGTATTTATTAAATTTTTTTATGTTTTTATTTTTTAATTCTATGAAATAATATCTATTAAATTTTTTTTAAATTTTATAATTTTCGTGGAACGAAAACAAAAAATTTAACTCGGTTTCCCGCAAGGTCTTAGAACTTGTGTTTCCCGTCCCTTCGGACAAACGCCACCTGCGCCTTTTACAAATCATAAATTGGCGAAATTTGATTAATTTTTCGTACGAGATATATTAAGAGAAGTTTTTTTCTAATTGGGTTAATTTTTTACCGTAAATAACATTCAAAAATAACGCTTGGCTTACAGCAAAATTACTAAATAAAATGGTTTTTTTTAAACTCTTTCCGTCCTGTAGGCAATAAGAGGGCGTCTTTTAGCAAGCCCATTATGGGTTCGGCCAGGCCCACAGCGGGGTGGCTAATGGTGAGAAACGGGACCGACATATAACCCGAAAAAAATCCCTGGGGATTTTTCGACCCGTCCGGATTAAATCCCAAGCCCCCAAGAGCGGCAGGCTACCACCTTGACCGCTTGGCCATCCAGACGTCTAGATAATATGGTTGAGGAGCCACGATTGTAATCACCTCTTTGCGTTCTAGCAACAATTGTCCCAGATAGGGTGGCGTTACAAACTTCTAGACTCCGAGCGAGCATTAACGTTTAGAAGTGACAGATCCAATTCCGCTGTTGGAACTGGAACTGTTGGAACTGATCCGTGTACGGAATGGTTCCATCGGAACAGTTGGACTAGACGGTTCTTCATAGTCATTGCATAACGTCAGAATTGCTTAGTCTGTTATTCTAGACCAGTGATTTACAACCGGAGTGTCGCGAAAATTTTTGAAGGTTAATAAATAAATTATTTTCGAAAGAAGCCCAAAGAACAATAAGTGTACATGTCAAAATTAAAAGTTCTTTTAATTGATTATTGTTCTCAGTCTTATGCCCTTCTGAGGGCATATGAAATGATATTAGAATTGAGTGCTTTAATTGTATCTTTCCACTGCTCCCGGTGTTTTACAAGATGGATGGCTTCATACATTGTATGTCTTGTAATCATATTACTTGGTCTGCTCACCTAATCCGACATCTGCCTCTAGGGCGTTTGTCATTAATCTTTTCTTCTAGGATGTGTTTCTCAAATCCATCTTTGCGTCTAGAAATATGTCCCAAGAACCTAAGGTAAAATTTGTATATTTTAGTGGTAAGACGTGTTGTGATTTTCAGTTGATTTAGGATGGAGAAATTTGTTCGGTGCTCCGTCCAAGAGATTCTCAACATTCTTCTATATGTCCATATTTCTAAGGAATCAAGTTTCTTCCGAGAAGTGGCATTTATGGTCCAGGTTTCTGATGCATAAGTGGCAATCGGAAAAATAAACGTTTTCATGAGCTTTAGTTTATTAAAAATAGTGATTGCAGAATCTTTCCAAATTCTAAATAATTTAAAGATTGCATTGCGAGCAAGGAAATTCTGCGTTTAGTTTCATTATCGCATCCTCCTTTATTTGTAAGAAGTGATCAAAGGTAAATAAATTCATTCGCCATCTTATAGCCTGCAATTTCTTTAGTCTGTGTCAAGGAACGATCAATTATCATAACTTTCGTTTTACTTTCATTAATCAGCAATCCATATTCCCTGATTTCAGTTTCAAGACGTTTCACAATATATTCAAGTTCTGATTCATTGGATGCTATAATAAGTGTATTGTCAGCATATCTCAGCCCCTGATGAAAATGCCTCCCTATTACACTTGTAATGATTATTTCAGAATAAGCATTAGAGAGTAAAGAGGAAAGAATACATGCTTGTCTTACATCAGCTTCAGATGTAAATGTATTAGACATAGTTTTGTCAACTTTTACTCCTGCAGAGTTATTGCAGAGTTGCAGAATTATTTCAGAGTCATATAAATGTCCGATCATTGAAATAAGATGGCGCGGGACTCCCATGTTCTGGAGAGCGGGTCACAATTTGTGCCATTTTACATAATCAAAGGCATTGGTATAGTCTACGAAACAAAGGTAAACTGTTTGACATTAAATTCACAGACTTTTCAATGATTTATCGAGCGTCCACGAGTTCTATTACCAGGGGTAAATCCCGACTGTTCTTCAGCTATTTCAGGTAATAGGAAGGGTTTCAAATGGTTAATGTATTTATAGCTTTTTCTACTTATGATTTGAGAATAAATGGTTCAACTTTCCCTGTCCATCCATTCTAAAGTTGATTATTACCATTTGTTTTCCAGTGTCTTTATAAAGTTTCTCATAATACTTCCTCCAGACATCCGCAATCCCTTCTGCATCAGTTATGATTTCATTTTCATCATTTGATAACTGATCATAATTGATCAGTTAAACAAAAAAATTTCCCTAATTTATGAAACATGTATTAGAAGACACAAAAAAGACTGTAAACAAAATTTATAATTAAAAATCTTCTTATTTTATACGAATTACAAGACATCCTTTATATTGGACGTTAGACATATGGCATGCTATTATATTAGATATATCCAATCTGTGTTATTTATAAATTAATCTACCGATTCATGCTTGAGGATAACATACAATTATAGTTGGTGGAGGCATTTTGAACAACTTCCCACGTGGTCTAGTGGCTAGGATACCTGGCTTTCACCCAGGAGGCCCGGGTTCGATTCCCGGCGTGGGAATTTTTTTTCGCTCTCGCGTTTTTCAGTAGTCCACCTTACGTGTATTGTTTCATTTCTTTTTATAATCTGGTATAAGCAATTTTACAGACCGACGTTCGCGACCTCGACTCTCGTGGAAATTTATGCAGGAAGATTTGCATGTTTAAGTATAAGTAAAATAATAATAATAATCAGCAGCGCCAAGTCGCAGCGATAAGTGCAGAAAAACGCAAAAAATTCTCTTGATTTTTCGATCCTTCCGAATTTCATCCGGGTTCAAGAACGGTAGACGATTAACCTAACCGATGGGCCATCCGGTCGTTGAGCATATTGTATGAAAATCAACTTTCCGACATAATGAAAACAAGAAAACATATTACAAAACTTTAATTAGTAAGCAATACTATCAGTTAAAAAGAACTTTAATGCTTTGTGCATTAAAAAATAACAAAAAAAAAAGCCTTGAAACAAATCAGAAGATAGGATTAAAAAATATTCAATAAATACAAATCTATTGAATGAAAGATCAGATAAATAAAAACTTGAAAAATGAAAAAAAGCATTACAACCCTTGAGCAATTTTTCGAGGAGAGGATCTTTAATTTAGAGAGAGTAGCTTTATATTTAAACTGTAATTATATCTTTTACGATATTAATAAGTGTGTCATAAACCTTATCTAAATTAGCAGTTCATATTAATAACAATTTATCATTATAAAAAAGGTAATACATTGTATGTCTTGTAATCATATTACTTGGTCTGCTCACCTAATCCGACATCTGCCTCTAGGGCGTTTGTCATTAATCTTTTCTTCTAGGATGTGTTTCTCAAATCCATCTTTGCGTCTAGAAATATGTCCCAAGAACCTAAGGTAAAATTTGTNTAAGCACTAATTGGTCATCGAGTCCGATGTTGACGCTATAAAAAGGAGACAGTTCGACACACTGGATATACGTCACTCTCGTCTAAGTCGACTTGGAAACTTTTTTGTTCAATAATAAATGTGAATTCTTCTTCCTGGAAAAAATAAGACATTCCCTGAAAATAAGACCTAGAGCATTTTTCAGAGCAAAAATTAATATAAGACACTGTCTTATTTTCGGGGAAACACGGTAGTGACATTTTCTCATTCGTCGCCATAGAAAACGTAAATAGAAATTGATGGTTACCAGTAGCGCCTCTACCGATTAAAATTTGTACTGCCATAATTATAGAGCACGCGTGGATGTATTGGATGCACGTGTAATTTTGCGGTTAAATTCATATTTTCGCGTATTTATACAATTTATGCGAGCCGAACTTGCGTATAAACTATCGCATTACGTCATAATTTATTTACACAAAAATTTTTAATATTTTAAACCATTCTGTGTACTCGTAAACAATAGAAAATTTCAAATTTTTCAGCTCGAAAGTGTAAAATACAAGTAAATTTACTGTGTATTTTTTATCTGAAACCGTTAAAAACCATCCGGAAGTTTGCAGAAGGACGGCGAAAATTCAGCGGATGTTAACAAATATCATATTTAATAGCGAGTAGATAAGTAATCGCACGCGTTTGTGTTTGGCAGGTGTCGTCTATATTGTCTGCTGGTAGTGTAACAGGTGGGGTGACGTCACAAAAAAACATATTGCTGACGTTTCATAATGTTAAAATAAGAATTTCTCTCATCTACGGAACATTGAAATGTGAGTAATATGAATTTTATACGTTTCAACTGGTTTCTTAAGTTAGTGCCTAGCGAATCTTGAATTAGGGCCTCGATGACCATGTATAATTTATATAAAGTTAACTGTAGTAGTGTTGTACAAATACTTAACACTTACATTTAGAGATTATAACGAAATTTGGTGTAAATTCAATTGATTTTTTTGAACAGGATGCGATTGTTTAATGCCCTTCCTGCGCGACGCATATCCTGTTGTGGTTTGTGAAATTTAAATTGTTAAGAGATCTTTCATTTGTTTAAAGTAATTATGCTTAATTTCTGTTTTAAGACGATGAAACGCCATTAATTTTAAAAAGTACCCAATGTTGTGCCATAATTGAATCTGTTAAAGATGGTTCTGCTTCAAAATTGATCGGGTAAATGGTATAGTTAAGTGAATATTATAAGAATGTGTGAAACACACGTGATGTATCGTGTTCGAGGCATGCTAATTGGCATGCCTCGAACACGCCAATTAGCCTCGAGGCATGCCAATTAGCATGTGCCTCAATAAAGTATGTATGAATATTTTACATGAGGAGGTGATTCAACTCGTCAACTAAGAAATTTGTTGTGTGAAGGTCATTGTTCCAGGGCAAATAGGTAGTGTGACTTTTACTCGAAGTCTAGTTCAATGGTTCTTAATCTAAGAGGTGTGTTTGATCCCGAGAAGTGCGAAGTATCTCCTAGAAATTTTTCTTTTTTTTTTTACATTTGTTTCCTCGTTGGTTAAAATTCTAATTTTAGGAAGGAACGGAAGCGTAAATGCTAAGTTCACTTTTAGAGGAAGGTAAAGGTTAAAACACTAAACGTAAATTTATTATTTGAGCAAATGTTTATCCTTGTGTATATAATAATTGTTATAGAATTTATAGTTATTTAATTTCAAATAATTTGATAGAAAGATATAAGTTACAGTAGATATTTGTTAAATTTATTGTTTCTCATTACAGAAGCATCGGTTAAACAAAACCGTGGCATATTTCTTTATGGTATAGATTAATTTTCGTGAGGAAATCTATATACTCTATGATCTTTTGAAACATTTATAACTAATTGTCTTAACACACCTAATCAGCGGTTTATTAAAGATACTAGACCATTTTTTTATATTGATCCGGGATCCTAGTTTCTTTTTCGCCTGTCGAAGAATAGATTAAGATAACCTGAACCATGTAAAACACAGACGTGATTAGAGGTGCTGCCTTGTCTTTGAACATGGTAAAGCCATTTAAGTGTCAATTTAGTATTTTGAAATTGGTAGTACAACTTTTTTCCTTGTAAAATTATCTTTAACCGTTATATGTATATGATTAAGAACGTTATCAAGAGCATTAAAACCATAATTTATTGCCTCTAATTTAGGCATTCATACAAAGCTGAAGAAGAACTTTCAAAAGATGTTCTTCCAAGTAGAGAATATTACTCAATTAGCACCATAATCACCCACTTGGATATGCTCGACTGGTTCAGAGCCTACTAGTGGCCGAGTAGTTCAAACCATTGGTAGTTGGTGGTAGTTTTGCACCTGACCAAGTGGAGTTTCCTGGTTTTTTTTGTGTCTAACACCTAATTAAAGGCCAGTTTTCTGTAGAGGCAGCCCTCTTGCAGATCGTCCTCGTGTTGCATTGCTTACCCATAAAATCAAATCTATTACTGGAGTCTCAATTTATCATTTATATTCGAATCCATGTAAGGCATAGAGAAAAAGTCGATGCCCTAGGGTGGATCCGATGGATTTAATATATATATATATGTGGAAGATTTATAGAATGTATAGAATAATGTTTAAATAATTGAAAAATATCTTGTTAATTTTATTTTTATTTTGCTTCTATCAATAAAAAACATTTTCAAATATAAAATTTTCAATTACAGGAAATTCTTGTAATGCAAGAACTGTAATGATTTTCAAAAACATGATTTTATTCACTTAATATATGAAGATAACAAAATGTTTATAACAAAGTGTATCACTTTATTAATGTGTTTATGCATAGTAACGAGCATACCAAACAAAGAAAGCAAAAAACAGAAGATTACAAACTTAGACTATGTGAAAGAAAGCAGGCTTGACAGGCCTCAAAATATAACTGAACAACAACAACAACAACAACAGACTAACAGCACGATTAAAATGACAACAACACAATCCACAGCTAAAACAGAAAATACTACAGACCGTGGAACTACAACAATAACTTCTAGCCAAAAGAATTCGAGTAACATTGCACCAAACAACAGCATCAAAGGTAACAATTTTGGTATCAATGAGTTTATAAAGGATTATTAATAAATACAAAGTATGCATTTATTCAATTTACTTTTCAGTTTCTAGGATTTATGACTATGCAATTCTTTCTTGGATGGTAAGTTTAGCATTATTCGTGTTTTATGTAAAATTATAGACCTTAAAATTAACCGCTGTTTCCATAATTTTCATAAATATAAATTCAGTAATCAGCTAATTAGATTGCATACAAGGACGAGGTTGCGATCTTAGGAGGCTTCAGTACGCTTTTATAAAAAATTTTCCTGTCCTGTGGGCACTAACGAGGCATTTTTATCAAGCTTATTAGGGTAGCCGGGTGGTGAAGGAAAGGACCAGGCATATGTGCCACGGACCACCCCCAAAAATTCCCGGCTTTTTCGACCCGTCGGACTCGTTCCCACATCCTTCAGAGTGGTAGACTTTCATTGCTCGGCATTCAAAATTTTCGGAATAAGAAACTTGGGTACGATATAAGATGGCAGCCTACGGATCTACTTTTCAAGAGAACTTGGACCTCTTAAAAGGTCCAAGTTGTCTCTTGAAGGATGTTTAGGTTGGTGAGGGTATTTAGTTGTGAATAGTATCAACTACCAAGTCAACATGGTTAAGCATTTCTTGGAGTATTTGGATATTCAAACAGACTTCAAGTTGGCCAAGTACCAGAAGGATGATGAGTGTAGATGTTTTATCATCACCTTCTGTTCGATTATAGATGATGAGAAAAACATTAATGATTTGAACTGTGTTTAACCCCGATGATAAATAAATAACCGATATCGTATTTAAATTTGATAACTGATTAAATATGTCTCATTCTTTTATGGGAATAATAACAGGTGTGTAAACTGATAAATGTAGTATAATAGTGACATTTTGTTCTCTTCATAATATTTTATTTTTAAGCTAATTTATACAAAAAAAATTAAAGTTTTCCTAATTAATTTTCTTAAAAACCACACTGAATAATACTGATTAAATACAGTATTATTAAGTGATCTTGTTTAGTGTCGCTAGACTTCCATCAGCTCGATTCGCGTTTGAGTTCCATCTTTGTCTTCCAAGTTAAAAGAAAGGAATAATTTAATTATGTAAATTAATGGAAATTAAAATATACATTGAATTGAAACATTCTGTATCGGATTAGGCCGGATGGCTAAGTCGTTTAGGACCAGTTTACCACCCTGGGGATCCGGAAACGAATTCGGACCGGTCGATGAACCTCAGGAATTTTTCGCAGGATAAACTGTCCCGGACGTAGGCTTTGAGCACTAAGTCCTGTTAATCAGGCCCATAATAAAGCGGCCGGGTAGTGACGAACGGAGTCCGACATATCCGGGAAGGACCACTTGAAAAATTCCTGGGGTTTTTCGTCCGCCGGATTCAATTCCGGGTCTCCCAGAGTGGTAGGCTGACCTTAATCGCAAGGCCATCCCGGCTGTCTAATCTGAAAACCACTGAAAACTAGTAGTTTTCTGGTTCGAAGCTGACCAGAATGATGGTCGCGTGAAGATTCCACAGTTTTCTTCGTGTGTCTAACACCTAAATTGAAGCCAATTCCCATAGAAAGTCTTCCCAGGAAAGGCACCCGCTTGGCAGATCGTCTATGCCTTATTTCCCACCGCACCAGAATCTTTCTACTGGTCTTAATTTTCTTCTTCTGAAGTGAACCAACAGAAACATTAAATATAAATTATTGCTACTCTTGCCTAAACGTATCTACTTTAGAAAGACAAAAATAATTTAAAATCATCATGTCGTATATGCAGTATAATATACACGTGTACTCATCTAAACAGCACCCAAGAGCTAAGTAAAGTCTAAGACATACGCTTAAATATCATATTTGTCTCGAATTATTATTATTATTTATGTAGATTTTATTTTGAATTCTAGAAAGATAGCTATGTTATGAGCTTTGTCATTCCCATTGCTGCTGGTATAGGCAGTGCCATTGTTTTGCTCATCATCGTTAATTTGGGACGATGCGTCAGAAACAGATGTCAAAGACGTCGTCGTAAGAAATTTTCAAATGTAAGAATTATAATATATATATTACTAAATTGAATTTATATATGTTGAAAGTATTAATTTAAAAAAAAATATTTTAAAGGAGTCCATTAGAAAAATGAATTTGGCTGATAGAATGAAGCTTCTAGCGGAAACTTCAGATGAAGAGTTTTGAGAACAGAAATTTATGTCGTTGTGTTTCATGTAAAATTCAATATATAAATGAATGTAACTTGTAAGAAAATTTTTAAGTGTAATGTCAACATTTAATAACATTTTATCTGAATAAAAATAAGTAAACATTGATATGAAAATTGGATTTTAATGACATTTACTGGATGCAATTTCGCGCTTTGTTGTATCGGTCAATAAGCGAATTTCGTGAATTTTGTTCGTGGTATATGAAAGGCCCATTAGTGACGAATGAATAAAACTCCCGAATACTTCGGGAGTTTTATTCATTCGTCTTCGAACACTTGTATTTGGTCTCGGGCTCGTGCTTGATCAACAAGCAGTTCATGTAGAGTTTTTCGGGTTTGTCCCGTTGCCGTAGCTAAATAAACCAAACTAAATTGCTATCGGTTAAATCGTATAATTATTTAAGTACTGTATTGTATTTTTGTGAAATTAGCGGTGGATTATTAATGTTTCTGAATGCAGTGAAACGTTTTTAAACGGATTTCGGAGATTTCCTCGTGAAGCGCTTCTCCAGCGACGAATGATATAACGCTTTTATCTTGCAAAACAAATTCAACTAATGACGTTCTTCATTTGCTTTCTATTATTTTAAAATATTATTTAATATTTTAATATATTTTAATAATAATAATAAAAATACTTTTATATCAAAAATATAAAAAAAACGAATTAAATCTTTATTTTTTAAAACTTCAGTACAAACCAACAAAGAAAAATAATTTTGAATTTTATTGTTCGAACTCTATTGTTGAAATCATTTGATTCAAAAGTCGAAAATTAATCCAGGTGAGATTTCGGAGCATTTGCTAGCGGGATGTTTGGTGTTTAGCGCAGTCACCTCAGGAGAAAGCGCCGAATATACCCAGCCAAACATCGATGTTCAGATGTGTCCGTGACACACGCTTGCCGTCTGAATATCCCGCTAGCAAAGAGACATTTTCGGAGACTTTCGCTGGCGATTATTTATTGTCATTGCGTTGCAGCGAGGTATTAAATGTGCCCAACTGGAGAGTAATGGAAGCGAGATCTCGGTAGGTGCATTTGCTAGCGGGATGTTTGGTGTTTAGCGCAGTCACCTCAGGAGAAAGCGCCGAATATACCCAGCCAAACATCGATGTTCAGATGTGTCCGTGACACACGCTTGCCGTCTGAATATCCCGCTAGCAAAGAGACATTTTCGAAGACTTTCGCTGGCGATTATTTTGCTGTCATCGATTTGTAGCGAGGTATTAAATGTGACCCAAGTAGAGAGTAGTGGAAGCGAGATTTCGGTAGGTGCGTTTGCTAGCGGGATGTTTGGTGTTTAGCGCAGTCACCTCAGGAGAAAGCGCCGAATATACCCAGCCAAACATCGATGTTCAGATGTGTCCGTGACACACGCTTGCCGTCTGAACATCCCGCTAGCAAAGAGACATTTTCGAAGACTTTCGCTGGCGATTATTTTGCTGTCATCGATTTGTAGCGAGGTATTAAATGTGACCCAAGTAGAGAGTAGTGGAAGCGAGATTTCGGTAGGTGCGTTTGCTAGCGGGATGTTTGGTGTTTAGCGCAGTCACCTCAGGAGAAAGCGCCGAATATACCCAGCCAAACATCGATGTTCAGATGTGTCCGTGACACACGCTTGCCTTCTGAATATCCCGCTAGTAATTGTCATGTTTTAGGAACTGATCTTGCACAGACATAACATCATTGTACGCGAAAAGATGTCCACCGTTTAACCATTAATAAATCATCGCATTCATGCACTTAGATATCAGACACTTCTCATTTGTTAGGAATGAACAAAGTGAAATACCAAATACACTGCTTCCCACAAATCCAACCCCTGGGTCCTCGTCCCGGGAAGTGGAAACGTCAATGTAGAGATTGTGAAGATTCAATAAGTACCAGAGGTCGAAAGGACTCTGGTACTTATTGAATATTCAAAAATTAATTTAATTAACGTAACTATTTCATGGCATAATAAAAAATTTCCTGACAATGAAGATTAGTTAAATAAAAATGTAGCAATGTAGATATGAAAGTAAAGTATTCCGTAGTGTAATAAATTTCCTGAATTTTTACGTTATATTTATAAAATATTTATCTATTGTGATGTGAGACGTAATTTGGTGAGGAACGATGAATGGTAACTATGTATACATTTAAATAAAACTGAAACTTTGAGCTGTAGACCTAATATTTGAAATTTTCCAATTGGATTCTTCATCATAATTGATTAATGATGGAAAATGACAAAGTTTCATCGAAATCAATCTACGAAATTTTCAGAAAAAACACAATACTGTAAGCCACATAGAAAGAGGCTTATCTGACGTCCCGCATCAATTAAACCCAAGGTTATCCGGACCCAGAATGGACTTAATGTCTACTCTGAATCTGGCCGCGTGGTGCGGGACAAGGCCCGAAGTATCCGCGACGAACACCCTCGATCGTAATCAAGGTGCTCCTATTCAATGGGCAATCAATCCAAGATCTGAAAAACTTAGAGAAGAATAATATTTAACTTGCGTCTTAGGTCAGACGCTATATTATTGACCAAGTTTATGAAGCCTACAGTAAGCCATTTTTGGAGTTGATAAGAATATCATCATCTAATTCTAGCCAGTGGTTGTTACATCGATAGATAATTTTCTCAACTACTGTAAAGACAGTTTTGTTTATCTAAATGTCATATTTAATTTTCATTTACTTCGTAATATTTTACTCTATTATTTTTTGCCATTACGAGCGGGTCTTTCCCGATTTGCCCGATCCCGGATCCCCCAGAGCGGTATGCTGTTATCATAACTACTCAGCCATCCGGACACCTCTACGAACTAGTAAAATATATTATATTATTTATAATAATTAATTAAAATTTTTATATTTTATACTAATTTTTAATTAAAACATCATTAATACGATAAATTATTTTAATAACATTTCTAAAATTCGTGTTTTAATATGAGGGGGCGCTGCATTTGACTTTCGGTCTTGTGATGAAGTAAACACTTCGTATTCATTTAGGAAGTTTCGTAGAAATTGCTTTAAACCGATCTAAAAACAATCAAAAATGAGCGCAAGAGATAGAATTTCCATATTTCCATCTAGAATGTAAGTATATTAACATATATTATATATTTTAAGGTATAAGGAAAGATTTTCTCATGAAAATAAGCCTACTATAAGTAGAGGTTACTTTTAGGTAAATTGTACGTAAATACGTCATGTGTCATTTACCTAAAAGTAACTTCTACCGAAATTTTATATAGAGTGAAACCTCCATTAAACGGACATTTTTACAATCCGTAGACCCTTCAAATAAGACATTATTATACACTATAACCTCCTAATAGCGGACACCGTCGTGACCGAGGAGTTTGTCCGCTATTTAGAGGTTAATAAAATATATGTCCTAATTGAAGGGTTTGAGGATTGTAAAAATGTCCGTTAATGGAGGTTTCGCCTCTAAGTAGTGGACAAACTTCTTGGTCTTGGCAGTGTCCGCTATTCGGAGGTTATACCGTATGTGTAAGTAAGTAAATAAAACTGGCTTGTATGTTGTTTAATATACAGTTATTTACCAAGTTATTGTGTTGTAATAATTAAGAAATAATGGGAAAACCTGGAAATGATTCTTACTCGTCATCGTTTTCTGTTATTAATTTGTTTTGTCGATATTGATAAACGGTAACCTTGTACGTGCATCTAACTTGCATTCATTATAGAAAAATGAGTATTAATTTTGGAAATTCTAGGTTAATTTTATTCGTATAAAGTTAAACTGTTATGTAATGTTCTACTATGTTGTGTTACAAGGATTCTGCTAACCAATGAACTAAGAATTGCTGTACAAGCTAATGGCATTGTGGCACGAAGTACTGTTACATTTTTCTGCTAAATGTTGAACTACAGACGCATGCATCTGATATAGTGATAGTGGCGCGATTCGTCATGCCAAATCCATGCAACACTGAGGGTATGTTCGTAAAGTCGAATAAGTTAAACGAGAATGACATCATTGTTATTCTTATTTCGTTATACTTTTCGACCGATTCATTTATAACTAAATGGCTGTTTCTAAAATCGAAGATATGAATGTTGCTTGTGCAGCCTTATCCGAAATATTTTTCTTAGATTGCTTCGGGTGGACAGTTATTTCTACATTGTTAGTAAGAA